TGTATGATGAGTGGTGTATGATGAGTGGTGTATGATGAGTGGTGTATGATGAGTGGTGTATTGATGAGTGGTGTATTGATGAGTGGTGTATTGATGAGTGGTGTATGATGAGTGGTGTATTGATGAGTGGATGAACAGTTCTTGAATGTCCGTAATACGGAAGTTTCGTACACTAAACTTCCTTTGATAAAAAACAAAACTTTGTGTGTTCTTACGTGCTTGTTTCGTGTTCAATCAGAAACCGAACATCCAGCTCCGAGGCCCTTGACCAACAATATGTTCTCAGGCTTCAAATCCCTGGCAGCTTCAAATCAGAAATGGTTCTCCATGGTTCTTCATTCTTCGTTTCTGCCTGTGCATGATGCCATGGCTGTGGATGTATGCCACAGCTTCCAAGAGGCACCGCACAGCTGCTTTGGCCTGCATAGACAATTACCATCTGATTGATTTTCTGTTCATGTCTGCTCTTTAAGGCAAATTCGAAAGCTTGAGACCTCCTGTTCAGGGTAGTACCCCTTCTGCTGAATTCGATCGTAGAGTTCGCCACCTTCAAGCCAATTTTTGTGTGTGTATGTGTATATAAATATACATATGATTCATATGATTATATATGATCTGTGTCCTCACACGCCCATGGTGCGAAGGATGCAATGTGTACCGTTTCTTGTTGGATGGTGCGTGTCTGAACAATGGCACCTTCGCACAGCTCCAGCACAAGTCCTTGGTGCAAAGAGCCTTCGCCGAATCCCAGAAAGTGCAAGAACATCACTGCCACAGTTCAAATTGCAGTTCCACCTAGAGCTGGTGGGCTGTGCAGCCGAAGTGCGAATGGCCCCTGGCATATTCTCGTCCACATCAATGATTGACACGAGGCCTCAAAGAGCACTTCACAGGTGGGTTCTCAATTGTAAAGTGTCTTGCCACATGCTTTTCCTATTGCACCGCTTCTGGCCATGGGCAGTTGCCTGGGTGAGTGCCAAGAACTTGCAGGATGTCAATTTCCTCATGGATGCGATTTAAGCCTTGGCAAACCAAAGGTCATGTGGGTACATATCTTGTTGTACCTGCAGAGTAAGGAAGCAGCTTGCCATATCGCCAACGCGTGTGTTGATGACCTCTAGCGCACGATCAAACATGAGGCCAGGCTAAACAGGACCCAGAACATGAGAACTTGAGCGGTGCTCATGTTTGGGTATACGCAGTATAAGTTTCCTGGTTTTGCAGATCCAGAAAGTGCCCTGCGCATCCCTGCACCAACTCGCTACAAGTCATTGCTACTGTACTGCAATCTTGGACCTTCTCTCACTTGTGAGTATGGTAAATTCGTTGTCCATGTGTATATAGGTGAATCATGTGAACCAGAAAATGCAGAGCATCCATCGGAAGTTGAAAGTACAATTGCTCATTGCTCGTCTCACTACAAAAAATCCGCTTCGATCAGAGCACTTACCACCAGTGCTGCCCGCTCGCCTTCAGAGCGTATTTCCGCTCAGGTTGGCTGCGTCGGTGGCACATGTGAACCACCGCAAATTTGCCAGTCCCAATCGTGTAGCTCTCATCCACCTTTAGGGAAAAAACATCGAACAAGGTGGTTTTCCAAGGACTCATGGTGACTCATGGTTGATGTTCCATCAATGAAAAGTCTCAGTGTGCCTCGTAGTTGGAATCAAAGTCTTCACTGTCATACATGTGCTCCATGATGGGGCATGCTGACAGCTTGCTCCCCATCGCCTTGGTGCAAGCCGTCAGCACTGAAAAGCCTTCCCAAGCTTGGCCCAAGGCAGGCGAGCATGGCAGAAATCACAGGACTGTCTGAGAATCTCACACTGAAACACTCAGCAAGCTGAGAGAGCGCCGTGGTTGCTGATTTTATGGTGACGCTTTTCTCAAAATTTAAGGAACAAAATAGCTGCAGCTGCGGCTGAGCTACCTCATGAATCTGTGCTTTGACATCCGAACACCGAAAAGATTGAAACACGTTGTGCAAAAAATGTTGAAACACAAAATGCGTGATGTGCAAAATGTCTTGTTCCTTGTTCCTTTCTATCTTTGGCCGTCAGCCTCCACGCCTTGCACCTTTGGCCAGGCATGGACACGGCATCCGCTTTGCGTCGATTCAAGGCATCCGCTTTTGCGGAAGAATCGCCAAACATCGGCAGTTTCGCCAACGAATCTCTCAACCCCGGAGCAGCCATTCAATCCAAAAAAGGAACCAGAAAGCAGATGGAATCAGTAAGAAATTGTCGATGTTGCCGCTTTTATAGAAGAGAACTATTGCCATCAAAAGAACCTTTCATGGTAACATTCGCCCTTGGGGCTACCTGTTCGCTTTGGCTGCTAAGCTTGTGCCTTAGTTGCTTTGGTTGCGGCAAGTGTCTGGACTAAAACGGTGGATTGTCTAATTGTTGATGAGGAGCGTCAACAGTCGGTCACAACGATATCTTCCGCACTCCGGATGATGGCCTGGTCCAACTATCGTGGACAATACATGGCCACTGAACAGGTGTGCAAAACTGTGCCGAATCGACTGAGGCATAAGTTTCCCACCACGACTTCTGGTGCAGCACTTTCTCCAAGACCAGTCAAGGCACTCACAGCTTGTCTTCGCACCTTAGCCGTGGCAGTCTGTCTGTCTCTTTTCGATATCAGAAGCTTAAGGCAATCTGGATCCAATCCCGCACTGCAAAAATCAGCGGAATGTCAAAAGGCTCGTCATCAGAGTTATCGGCCTGACAAAACTATCAGGACCTGTCAGGTATGTAGATACAAATCAGCCTGCAGCTAGAAGGTGAGCAATTTCCAGACCCAAGTCAGCTCACAAAACAGCAGCAGGCTACTCAGCTCGGAACCTCCAAGTCAGAGTCTGCCAGCGCTAGCACCAACTCATGAAGACAGGTAGATGCATACCTTGAAACTTTGGACTTGGAGACTGAGCATTGATACATACTGAACCGTATTGATATTAAAGGAAGACGTAGAAAAAGTCAATCTGGGAGCCAAGAGCTGAAGCGTCAAAATCTATGTTTCTCCTTTTTCCTTCAAATAGGCGTTTAGAGTTTAGATTGTTCCTTCTCTTCTCTTTGACCTTAGACCTGTCTTTCTAATTGAAAAAGGTCAAACACGAGGCTGAGATTTTGCCAAGGGACGTGCCAAGGCATCCCAGAGTTCGTGCGCAGGCTCGGCGCAGTTTCGGCGCCTGTGTCAGCTGTTCGCACAAGCAGTGCAGCCAGTGCTGCTTCTGTCTACAAGTACGCGTATTTTGGCAGTCTTGACAAAGCGAAGTAAGCAAAGGATGTTCCAATTGAGAAAATGCAAGTCTGTAGCCCCTCCAAGGGTGAGCCACCTCGTCCATGATCATATGGGAAGCGAGGCAATTGGCATGCCTTCATTGCGACAACGTGTCTGATTTAAACGGTATATTGGAAGCACAAAAAAAGACTGGTCTTGGTCTAATTTAGATCAGCTACATGCTGGCGATCTGTGACGCTGCATGCCTCAATCCGATTCGAGACCAACTGTAGGAAAACAAACCGGAAAGAGTTCACTGGCGAGAGCCACCAACAAAACACTTCAGGGCTCAGAAATTATTCCGGGCATGTGGTGGAATCTAGACATTCTCTGGCACTATCCTGTAACTACACCCTGAAGTCACTGAAGTCCGGGCTTGCTGTAAATAGATGTCAATAGTATATAACTCTTTTGTAGATCGTATTCGAGGGGGTATTCACATTTGGGGCAGTTGGAATTCCTTTTGCTCCATCTTTCCTGTTCATGACAGATTGATGGACAATCGGATGTTGAAACCTGGGAACTGGGCATAAATTGTGTATATATCAACATCCTAGAGTCTGCCCTGCGTGCTGTCAAACACTCCAAAATCTCTCCCAACAGATGCAACAATCAATATGGCAAATCACGAGTAGAATCCAGCAGGAATATGCAAAGTAGGTACTTTCTGAGGTTTGGTGTCAGACAATCTCTAAATGAGAACGTACCTTTCCTTGCCAGGGTGGCATCTACATTTCAGAATATTTCAAGGGATGTAACCTTTTGCCTTTCATCCAGAGATGTTACTTTGCTTGCCACCTCGCTTCTTGTTGCTGACCTTTGTTGCTTGCTGAGGCGCAGTTAGCCTAGCGACTACAGTAGTTGCCTTAAGCCTCCCGTCTTTACAAACACATTGAACTCATGTCTTTGAGGCCTGTCCACCAGTTCAATGCAAACTTGTGAAGCCAGGCTGCAAGCTGGCACCACCAAGTTCCCCTAATGCCTGAGTGACACGCGTAGTATGTATATATATATATTATATATGCTATGTTTCTGCAAAAACCTGCGTCTCACTTTCCCTGTTGCAATCTGAAAGGCCTGAATTCCCTGAATTGAAGCTACTAAGTAACAAGAAGCTATTCGGTTGGAGGCCATCGCTATTGGGTTGGAGGCCATTACTTCAAGTAACAGGAAGCTGTACTTCTGTTCAATTTCTTGACTTTGATCTGGGCCTGAACTGCGCATAGCTTCACCTCCAAGTGGGGATCTTCTTCGAGCCGCAGCACCAACAGCTGTGCCTCGGCAAACTCTGGTATTGAACCGCACAACCCTCACTCTCCATGTAGCACAAGTCTTTATGACATATCTTTTTTCTTCATGTCTTTGTTCCTTCCTATGTAAGAAAGATTCGTTCTCTAAGTCCTGCAGGTGCGGTACGGAAGCAAGAGCTGCTTCACCTAGTTTGCCCAGTGCTCGCGCTGCGCTGACTCTCACCTTCCAATCTGGCACCTGGAGAAAATGAATCTGCAGTCGATAAGAGGAAGGCACTTAGCTACTAGTAGCGATGCACCTTGCTACTAGTAGCTTCTTGCTACTAGTAGTAAGGCACCTGGCTACTTACTAGTAGCGATGCTTTTGAATCTGTGCCTCAAGGCGCGCTCGAAGCAGCGCTGTGTATGGTGCCGCGATGTCTCCCAAGTCACCCAAGGTGTCCATCACTGGGCAATAGATGCGGATGTCATGCTCCTCTTGCTTCCGAGGCAAACACCGACATACCGTACAGTACTTGTGTGTTGGCGCAAGGCCAGCAATTTAAATTACAAAGGGCAAAAAGAGATTGATAGTTGCTCAAAGGGAAACCCAAGTGACCCAAGAGTTAAAAATAAAGTCAAAGCAAGTCGCTCAGAGTGTGTCTGATTCTTTCAGGAACGTCCTTCAGGCGGCTTGCAAGGTCTGCCGCATGTGCTTCAGCCAGGGGCAAACCAATCCGGCGAAAGGCCTGAAACGCAATGCAGAAAAAGGCAAGCAGGCTGCATATGCCTACAGCAACACTGCACAAAGTACACGTTTTCATGCAAAGAAGAACTTTCGGGCACTCTTTGTGACTCAGAGTCCTGGAGGACTGCATGTGACCATCCCTGAGTCTCGTGTTCAATATGTTAGCAGTTTCAATCAAAAGATTCCTGCCTTTGGGCAGACTCTTCGCACAACATTGGTGGCATCATGATATGATATGATTCTAATATATAATGGGAAAAAGGATCCCATCTTAAGCATGCAAACAATGGTATAGGGAAACCAACTCTGCAAAGGAATGTATGCAAGTCAATCAGGAAAGTAAACCCATGCATTCATTATTTGCAGTGATGTTTATTTATATATGTATATATATATATTATGTCCCGTTCGTAACCTTTATATCTTTATACACCTGAAGCCTGAAGATTTCACTCCATCCAATCGCCCACTCAGTGTAACCGGTGCCTCTGCAGCCTGCAATCGCACCACATCGCTCGGGTCAGTAAGCTGCTGGGCTAACGTTTGCATGGCCTTGGCATTCTCAATTGCAGTAGCGCAGCAACAGAAGAAACATGTTATATAAATAGATCATCAAAGCATATCAAAGCTTTCTGTCCCTCAATTTACTATAAGCAATTGAGTCCAAGCCAGACCGCAACTCACTCATCTGTACAGCAGGGCTGTTGTGAGGGTGGCAGAAGAAGGATTACAGTAATCAAGATTTACCACGATTTGTCCCGCTCGTAAATCAGGAGTTGAAGGGAAACTATTATCCGGCAAAGCTTTGTCGTCCACTTGAGGCCAAGGGGGGGGGCGAAAGCTAGCGCTCCAGAATGGGAAAGTGGAGGGCAGCGAGGTAGGAAAAAACACAGCGCTCTTTTTGGAGGCAGGGGTGAAGAGTCCTTTATATGTGGCTCTTTGCCCGGATCCTCCTGCGAGAGAAGAGAGAGAAGAGAGACGGAAAGACGAGAGACAGAGAGGAGAGAGAGAGAGAGAGGAGAGAGAGATGAGAGAGATGAGAAAGAGATGAGAGAGATGAGAGAGATGAGAGAGATGAGAGAGATGAGAGAGACAGTGAGACAGTGAGACAGTGAGACAGTGAGACAGTGAGACAGTGAGAGTGAGCGAGTGCGGCCGCAAGATACGCAACGCTAACCGCATGCCAAAGAGCGACGACAGGACGGAGTCGAACTTGCGACGAAGAGGGAGGAGGGAGGGAGGGAGGGAAGGTGGGAGGAAGACAAGGAGGAGGAGAGGGGAGGTGGGGAGAGGGAAGGTGGGGAGGGGGGGGGGGTGTCTTCGACCTGAAAAATCAGGGGTTAGGATTTGCACCCGGTCGAAAGAAACCTTGCTATCGCAAGAGTAACTCCAGCTAGCTAGCTTTCGTGATATGTTTGCAATGAAGCAGTAATCAGTGGATAATTCCCCAAAATCCATATCAAACCAAAGAAATGCAAAAGGCAAACCCTTGCAACTTGCTGTTGTGGAATTGCTAGCCGCACATATTAAACAAGCATAATCTCTCCTCTCCAGTGGAAGTTCAATTGACTGACTGATCAATAAGACTTTCATCTGGATCTGTTCAACTGTAGGAAAAGGCTCTTGAAGGCCCTTGCCTAAAAATCTAGGTCTAGGAACCAA